ATCCGGGAGAAGAGTCATCGCCTTCGTAAGCATAATTCCTCAGGAGGTCCCCTGCGGGAGGGATACTGCCGGTACCTCTCTTACCGCCGACGCCGTTCTGCTTCCCCTTCTCCAACGTCGTCCCTCCGGATTTCTTGCCTCCACGCTCAACGTCCGGGGCAGGCACTAAGGACCCGCTCCGTCTCTGGTCCTCCATGCTGCTGGTCTCAGAGGCGGCGTCCACCTGCAGCACATCTACGCCTGCCCAATATTATTAAATGAAATAAACAATACATTCTCAGAAAAAACTTACATAAGCTGACAAGATAAAAATATAAATACAGTTCTCTCCAAGGGCAAGCGATTTATACACAGAGATCCGAATAGCATATGAAAGCTGAAACTATAAAGATACTTAATCACTTGTGAATGGTATTGAAGGGCTCCTCTGATGCCTACCGGGATGAAGCCATTCGCTGGCTTTGATCAAGTACTTAATGCAACTCAAGAGGCCACTGACCTGGTAGGTTAAGGTTTCTGATTCAGGCTGGCAGTGGGAAGGGCCACATACCTGCTTTGTTGGGGTTCTTGGTCCACGATGGTAGGAAGAGGGCCACATACCTGCTATGTTGGGTTTCTGGTCAAGGTTGGTAGGGGGACGACCACATGCAGGCGATGAGTCACAATAACGTGGCTGAAGTATGTTGACCAGACCACACACTAGAAATTGAAGGGACGACGACGTTTCGGTCCGTCCTGGACCATTCTCAAGTCGATTGTGATGAGGACAGGTAGGGACAGGCATTAAATAGGCAAGAGAGAGCTGAGGAGGAAAATCAGGTGTAGGGGATAGTAGTAATGAGAACTGCAGCAGGCCTATTGGCCCATACGAGGCAGCTCCTATTATAACCACCGAAGGAGATAGTAATAGGAATAAGAAGAGGATAGCAAGGGAGCGTAGAAGACAATGAACAGAAAAAGGGAGAAGAGAGAAAGAAAGGGAAAGAGAAAGAAAGAAATGGAAGGGGAAAAGCTTATGTTAAGTCACGTTTGTTAGAAAGATTAGAGCATTTGAGTATATACTGTGAAAGGGAAGAGTCCACAGCAACAAAGCCAGGACTCAAGTTCATGTTGGGTACATTGTTAATAAGAGCCGATTCTACAAGACGGCGTCTGTGTAGAGTAGAGGCAGGAAAGATTATTTTGGAGGAAGACCAATCAATGGGATGATTAGAATCCCTCACATGGCAGAAGAGAGCATTGTTAGTGTCTGCAGACATAACACTTCTCTTGTGTTCTTTAAGTCTGTCATTCAGTGTACGGCCAGTTTCGCCAAAGTATTGGAGAGGACAAGATGAACAGGAAATAGAGTAGACACCAGCAGCATTAGAAGCAGGAGGAGCAGTGTGAACTAGATTGCTACGAAGTGTGTTAGTTTGTCGAAAGGCGAGTTTAATGTCAAGAGGACGAAAGGTATTGGTAAAAGTTTTGAGTTCAGATATGAAGGGAAGGCATAGTACAGTGCTACTAGTGTTGGAAGCAGGTTTAGGATGAAAGAAATTTCGTTTAGCTTGAGAGTAGGCACAGTTGATGAAATGCAAAGGATAACCAAGGCGAGAGAATGATTTGTAGATAAAGGCAATTTCAGAATCAAGAAACTGAGGGTCGCTGATGCGTAGAGCGCGGAGGAAGAGAGAGACGAGGACACTTTTCTTAACAGAAAGAGGATGGTAGGAAAAGAAGTGAATGTACATGCCACTATGCATGGGTTTACGGTAGACAGAGAAAGAGAACCCAGACACAGAGCTGTGAACATGAACATCAAGAAAAGGAAGGAGGGAATTAGATTCCCACTCCACTTTGAAATGGATAGAAGGAGCCAGATTGTTAAGAGAGGCGAGGAAAGGCTGGAAAAGATTAAGGTCATGAGGCCATAAAGCAAAAATGTCATCAACATAGCGAAGCCAGAGAGAGGGACGAGTATCAATAAAAGGAAGAAGAACAGTTTCGAAGTATTCCATGTAGAAATTAGCAAGAACAGGGGAGAGAGGGGAACCCATAGCGACACCGAAAGTTTGAGTGTAATATTTACCGTTGAAAGAGAAAGAGTTAGATTCAACACAGTCTAATGAGATCGAGGAAAACGTCAGTGGGAAGTGGGAGAGGAAGGAGACCCTCTGACGCCTTCTGTCTGAGGAAAGAGAGAACGTCATCGAGCGGAACATGAGCGAGACCCTCAGACAGAAGGCGTCAGAGGGTCTCCTTCCTCTCCCACTTCCCACTGACGTTTTCCTCGATCTCATTAGACTCTGTGTTGAATCTAACTCTTTCTCTTTCAACGGTAAATATTACACTCAAACTTTCGGTGTCGCTATGGGTTCCCCTCTCTCCCCTGTTCTTGCTAATTTCTACATGGAATACTTCGAAACTGTTCTTCTTCCTTCTATTGATACTCGTCCCTCTCTCTGGCTTCGCTATGTTGATGACATTTTTGCTTTATGGCCTCATGACCTTAATCTTTTCCAGCCTTTCCTCGCCTCTCTTAACAATCTGGCTCCTTCTATCCATTTCAAAGTGGAGTGGGAATCTAATTCCCTCCTTCCTTTTCTTGATGTTCATGTTCACAGCTCTGTGTCTGGGTTCTCTTTCTCTGTCTACCGTAAACCCATGCATAGTGGCATGTACATTCACTTCTTTTCCTACCATCCTCTTTCTGTTAAGAAAAGTGTCCTCGTCTCTCTCTTCCTCCGCGCTCTACGCATCAGCGACCCTCAGTTTCTTGATTCTGAAATTGCCTTTATCTACAAATCATTCTCTCGCCTTGGTTATCCTTTGCATTTCATCAACTGTGCCTACTCTCAAGCTAAACGAAATTTCTTTCATCCTAAACCTGCTTCCAACACTAGTAGCACTGTACTATGCCTTCCCTTCATATCTGAACTCAAAACTTTTACCAATACCTTTCGTCCTCTTGACATTAAACTCGCCTTTCGACAAACTAACACACTTCGTAGCAATCTAGTTCACACTGCTCCTCCTGCTTCTAATGCTGCTGGTGTCTACTCTATTTCCTGTTCATCTTGTCCTCTCCAATACTTTGGCGAAACTGGCCGTACACTGAATGACAGACTTAAAGAACACAAGAGAAGTGTTATGTCTGCAGACACTAACAATGCTCTCTTCTGCCATGTGAGGGATTCTAATCATCCCATTGATTGGTCTTCCTCCAAAATAATCTTTCCTGCCTCTACTCTACACAGACGCCGTCTTGTAGAATCGGCTCTTATTAACAATGTACCCAACATGAACTTGAGTCCTGGCTTTGTTGCTGTGGACTCTTCCCTTTCACAGTATATACTCAAATGCTCTAATCTTTCTAACAAACGTGACTTAACATAAGCTTTTCCCCTTCCATTTCTTTCTTTCTCTTTCCCTTTCTTTCTCTCTTCTCCCTTTTTCTGTTCATTGTCTTCTACGCTCCCTTGCTATCCTCTTCTTATTCCTATTACTATCTCCTTCGGTGGTTATAATAGGAGCTGCCTCGTATGGGCCAATAGGCCTGCTGCAGTTCTCATTACTACTATCCCCTACACCTGACTTTCCTCCTCAGCTCTCTCTTGCCTATTTAATGCCTGTCCCTACCTGTCCTCATCACAATCGACTTGAGAATGGTCCAGGACGGACCGAAACGTCGTCGTCCCTTCAATTTCTAGTGTGTGGTCTGGTCGACGACCACATACCTGCTATGTTGGGGTTCTTGGTCCAGGCTGGTAGGAAGAGGGCTACATACCTGCTATATTGGGTTTCTGGTAAATGCTGGTAAGGGGAGGGCCACATACCTGCTATGTTGAGGATCTTGGTCTAAGCTGGTAGGGGAGAGGGCCACATACCGCCTATGTTGGGGTTATTGGTCCATGCTGGTAGGAGGAGGGCCACATACCTGCTATGTTGGGGTTTTTGGTGCTGGCGGGTAGGGGGACGACATACCTGCTATATTGGGGTTCTTGGTCCAAGCTGGTAAGGGGAGGGCCACATACCTGCTATGTTGGGGTTCTTGGTCCAGGCTGGTAGGCGGGGGGGGGGGGAGGGCCACATACCTGCTATGTTGGGGTTCTTGGTCCAGGCTGGTAGGGGGGGGGGAGGGCCACATACCTGCTATGTTGGGGTTCTTGGTCCAGGCTGGTAGGGGGGGGGAGGGCCACATACCTGCTATGTTGGGGTTCTTGGTCCAGACTGGTAGGGGGGAGGGCCACATACCTGCTATGTTGGGGTTCTTGGTCCAGGCAGGCTGACCGTTGGCTTTGGGCGGCGTCAACAGTTGCAGCTCCAGCAGGTTGGGCGTGTTGTTGCAGGGCGGGGAAACCTGTTGCTCACAGCTGACGGCGTCTTCCTTGTTGTCAGCGGCGCCTCTGCGCAGCGCAGAGCGGCGGTGGTGCTGATGCAGCAGAAAGGCGCAGATCAGCACTGTTTTGGGAGGAGCACGTGATGAGCTCAAGGTTTAGTAGTCTAGTGATGTGACCTAGACTGACAGTCTAGTGATGTGACCTAGACTGACAGTCTAGTGATGTGGCCCACACTGACAGTCTAGTGATGTGGCCCACACTGACAGTCTAGTGATGTGGCCCACACTGACAGTCTAGTGATGTGGCCCACACTGACAGTCTAGTGATGTGGCCCACACTGACAGTCTAGTGATGTGACCTACACTGACAGTCTAATGATGTGACCTGCACTGACAGTCTAGTGATGTGTCCAACACTGAGAGTGTTGTGATGTGACCTACACCGACAGTCTAGTGATGTGGCCCACACTGACAGTCAAGTGATGTGACCTACACTGACAGTCTAGTGATGTGACCCACACTGAGAGTGTTGTGATGTGACCTACACCGACAGTCTAGTGATGTGACCTACACTGACAGTCTAGTGATGTGTCCAACACTGAGAGTGTTGTGATGTGACCTACACCGACAGTCTACTGATGTTACCTACACTGACAGTAGTCTAATGGTGTGGTCTACACTGACAGTCTAGTGATGTGACCTACACTGACAGTAGTCTAATGGTGTGGCCTACACTGAGAGCAGTCTAATATATTGCCTACACTAATAGTAGTAAAATGATGTGGTCTACACTGACAGTAGTCTAATGATGTGGCCTACACTGAGAGCAGTCTAATATATTGCCTACACTAATAGTAGTAAAATGATGTGGTCTACACTGACAGTAGTCTAATGATGTGGCCTACACTGAGAACAGTCTAATATGTGGCCTACACTAATAGTAGTCTAATGTTGCCCACTACACTGAGGTCTACTCAGTGTACAGACAGTAGTCTAATGTACACTGACAGTCTAATGATGTGCCTACACTGACAGTAGTCTAATGATGTGACCTACACTGACAGTAGTCTAATGATGTGACCTACACTGACAGTAGACTAATGATGTGACCTACACTGACAGTAGTCTAATGATGTGACCTACACTGACAGTAGTCTAATGATGTGACCTACACTGACAGTAGTCTAATGGTGTGACCTACACTGACAGTAGACTAATGATGTGACCTACACTGACAGTAGTCTAATGATGTGACCTACACTGACAGTAGTCTAATGATGTGACCTACACTGACAGTAGTCTAATGATGTGACCTACACTGACAGTAGTCTAATGATGTGACCTACACTGACAGTAGTCTAATGATGTGACCTACACTGACAGTAGTCTAATGGTGTGACCTACACTGACAGTAGTCTAATGTTGTGACTTACACTGACAGTAGTCTAATGATGTGACCTACACTGACAGTAGTCCAATGATGTGACCTACACTGACAGTAGTCTAATGATGTGACCTACACTGACAGTAGTCTAATGATGTGACCTACACTGACAGTAGTCTAATGATGTGACCTACACTGACAGTAGTCTAATGATGTGACCTACACTGACAGTAGTCTAATGATGTGATCTACACTGACAGTAGTCTAATGATGTGACCTACACTGACAGTAGTCTAATGGTGTGACCTACACTGACAGTAGTCTAATGATGTGACCTACACTGACAGTAGTCTAATGATGTGACCTACACTGACAGTAGTCTAATGATGTGACCTACACTGACAGTAGTCTAATGATGTGACCTACACTGACAGTAGTCTAATGATGTGACCTACACTGACAGTAGTCTAATGATGTGACCTACACTGACAGTAGTCTAATGATGTGACCTACACTGACAGTAGTCTAATGATTGTGACTTACACTGACAGTAGTCTAATGATGTGACCTACACTGACAGTAGTCTAATGATGTGACCTACACTGACAGTAGTCTAATGATGTGACCTACACTGACAGTAGTCTAATGATGTGACCTACACTGACAGTAGTCTAATGATGTGACCTACACTGACAGTAGTCTAATGATGTGACCTACACTGACAGTAGTCTAATGATGTGACCTACACTGACAGTAGTCTAATGATGTGACCTACACTGACAGTAGTCTAATGATGTGACCTACACTGACAGTAGTCTAATGATGTGACCTACACTGACAGTAGTCTAATGATGTAGACTATTATCTACATATCAGTAAAATATCAGCTGAATAATGATGAATATTACATTATGAGGAGTTTTATCATATAGATTATTATATAGGGATACGAATTAAAAAAAATATATGGTTTAAAATTTTTCTGTTTTATATTACCTTTTAAAATAATATAAAACAAAACTTTTAGTTGTGTGTTTTTATCGCCCATATTCCGCTGGAATGATTGAGTGGGATGAGCCCTGGAAACGCAGATGCGAATCCTGGTCTTGTCATAGAGTTCTTTGTCATTTATTGGCATTGGGACCATTCAACCTTTCTCACTCTTGTAGGCTCAGCGCCACAAGAACATGCCCTGGGATTTGATGAAAAAATTTACTTACGACCCATTTTTTTCTTTGTGACCTTCTTTGGGGAATTCCTTGTACTCTACGATCTTTATTTATCTGTTGGTCTGATGACGACATCGTCTTTGACATATGCCTAAGACTTTTTAGAGTGAAATCTTGCAGGAACTCGAAGGCTTCTGACTCCTTATGTAACGCTGTGACAACTTGCTTCATAAGCCCAAATTTTATGTGCAGTGGTGGGATTAGTATCTTCTGGGGATCCTCCCTGGCTCCCAACTGGCTTTGTTCTTCCCCACAGAGAACTTTATCTCCTATGGACAGTCAATTGGTAATACCTCTTTGGAGATCAATCAGAAACGTGACCTGTTTGAAGGTTCCGATGACGTCCCAGCCGGACTTAAAGGCGTCCAGCAATCACTATAGCAAAGTTTAAGAAATAATAGCAATTTCCAATAATATGAAACATAAGCAATTACAAAATAAACTACTCAATAAAAAAACAATTGTCACACATCGTTAAAGACGTGGACTGCTGCACATCACCAAAGCAGCATTTACAGAGTGAACTTAACAGGTAGATATACTCACGCAGGAGAAATGTGCACCAGACGACAATGGTCACCAGGATCCCGAGCGGCAGTTTTAGTGAAGTCTCCCCCACGTCTGGCAGGTGACAGTGTTGTCCGCTGAACCCCGCCGGACACGCACACATGAAGCCTTCACAGAGAACGGAATACCATTAGACGAGGGTAACTTAAAAGAAAAAAAGTCTACACATCTCGTTATTAGGTGGGACAGAATTTCACTCATGTACATTAGAAACATAGGAAGTAGTGTCAAATTCCAAGTCAATTATAGAAGATGAATAAGATGAGTAGACAGTCCAAGTTGTCGTAGATGAGTAGACAGTCCGAGTTGGAAGAGCAGGCAATGTAAATCAGGTGGATGAATAGGCAAGCAAGGAGAGATGGGATAAGTCCAAGTTAGTTGGATATGCAATCCGTCTGGTGGATGAATAGGCAATCCAAATCAGATGTATGGGCCCACAAGGGAGGGGCCCATATGAGACGGACCCACAAGGTAGGGCCTAACAAGGAAGGGCCCCCCACAAGGGGGGGGCCATAAAGCAGGGGCACATGTGGAAGGGGCCCACAAGAGAGGGGCCCATGAGAGAGGGACTCACAAGGGAGGGCCCACACGGGACGGGGTCATAAGGGACGGGTCCCACAAGAGAGGGTCCGACAAGGGAGGGGCCACACAAGGGAGAGGCCCACACAAGGTAGGCCCCTCAAAGGAAGGGACCCACACGGGAAGGGCACCAAAAGAAAAAGCCCTATAAGGGAGAGGCCCCCACAAGGTAGGGCCCTATACGGGAAGATCCGGACAAGGACAGTTCCCTCAAGGGAGGGGGGCCCACAAGGGAGGGGGCCTCGCAAGGGATGTGCCAACAAGGACGCCTCACCTGGCTGGGTGTTGAAGCAGGTGCCTCCGTTAAGACAAGGACGCCACACACACTCGTCCTCGTCCTCACACGTCTCCTCACTACTGCTCAGCGCCCGGCCCTCACCACACCTGTGATGACCACACCTGTCACTACCAGCCCCTCACCACACCTGTCACTACCATCCCCTCACCACACCTGTCACTACCAGCCCCTCACCACACCTGTCACTACCAGCCCCTCACCACACCTGTCACTACCAGCCCCTCATCACACCTGTGATGACCACAACTCTCACTATCAGCCCCTCACCACACCTGTGATGACCACAACTCTCACTACCAGCCCCTCACCACGCCTGTGATGACCACACCTGTCACTATCAGCCCCTCACCACACCTATGATGACCGCACCTGTCACTACCAGCCCCTCACCACACCGGTGATGACCAAGCCTGTCACTATCAGCCCCTCACCACACCTGTGATGACCAAGCCTGTCACTATCAGCCCCTCACCACACCTATGATGACCGCACCTGTCACTATCAGCCCCTCACCACACCTGTGATGACCGCACCTGTCACTACCAGCCCCTCACCACACCTGTGATGACCAAGCCTGTCACTACCAGACCCTCACCACACCTTTGATGACCACATCTGTCACTACCAGCCCCTCACCACACTTGTGATAACCACACCTGTCACTGTCAGCCCCTCACCACACCTGTGATGACCACATCTGTCACTACCAGCCCCTCGCCACACTTGTGATAACCACACCTGTCACTGCCAGCCCCTCACTACACCTGTGATGACCACATCTGTCACTACCAGCCTCTCACCACACCTGTGATGACTACACCTGTCACTACCAGCCTCTCACCACACCTGTGATGACCACACCTGTCACAACCAGCCCTTCACCACACCTATGATGACCACACCTGTTACTACCAGCCCCTTACCACACCTTTGATATCCACACCTGTCACTGCCACTCCCTCACCACACCTGTGATGACCGCACCTGTCACTACCAGCCCCTCACCACACCTGTGATGATCACAACTCTCACTACCAGCCCCTCACCACACCTGTGGTAACCACACCTGTCACTACCAGCCCCTCACTACACTTGTGATGACCACACCTGTCACTACCTCCTCCTCACCACACCTGTGATGACCACAACTCTCACTACAAGCCCCTCACCACACCTGTCACTACCAGCCCTGGCACTACTAGCCCCTCACCACACCTGTGATGACCAAACCTATCACTACCAGCGCCCTCGTCACACCGGTCACTACCAGCCCCTCACCACACCTGTGATGACCACACTTGTCACTACCAGCCCCTCACCACACCTGTGATGACCACACTTGTCACTACCAGCCCCTCACCACACCTGTGATGACCACACTTGTCACTACCAGCCCCTCACCACACCTGTGATGACCACACTTGTCACTACCAGCCCCTCACCACACCTGTGATGACCACACTTGTCACTACCAGCCCCTCACCACACCTGTGATGACCACACTTGTCAGTACCAGCCCCTCACCACACCTATGATGACCACACTTGTCACTACCAGCCCCTCACCACACCTGTGATGACCACACTTGTCACTACCAGCCCCTCACCACACCTGTGATGACCACACTTGTCACTACCAGCCCCTCACCACACCTGTGATGACCACACTTGTCAGTACCAGCCCCTCACCACACCTATGATGACCACACTTGTCACTACCAGCCCCTCACCACACCTGTGATGACCACACTTGTCACTACCAGCCCCTCAACAAACCTGTGATGTCCACACCTGTCACTACCAGCTTTTAACTTCATATCTAAATAAGGAAATATGTTAGTAATTATACATCCATATTTTAAGAGTAATACACATCAGAGGCCGTTCATTAAATCGAATTTTAAGACCTCAAAGAGAGGTCATATATTAACTAAATAATAATTAATCCCTGTTAAGAGTTGTCATTGGGAGGACAAAAATTGTATAAGGCTGCCAACTTTCCCGAGATTTAGAATAGTACAATAAATTGTGTAACAATTGGTATCTAATTATAGATATATGTGTCCAGAGCAGCAATCTGTTATTCCGGGGAATTACAATGGAGGACAACAAGAATTTATGAGACTAACATTTTACGAGAACAACAATTAAAGAGAAGAACAACTCAGGAGAACAACAAAAAAGTATGTTATTGGGAAAGTTTAAAACTGACTGCGATGGACACCAGAGAATTGTTGTGTACAGACCCGCAATGGTAGGACCTCCAGGTGTCGACGCAGGAGAGCGGGGGCCTGCAGGAGACGTTGGCACAAGCAGGAGGACCACCACACCCTTGCTCGACGCCCTGGAACACGCTGACCTGACCCCAAGCTGTGCTGTTGACCGCTGGCGGTAGTGGTATCCTCCGCCCGGAGATCCTCAGGTCGTCCATACATCCTATAGTGGTAATGGTCAGGAGTAATATTATATGTCTATCTCACTCCCTCATATTTATATATAAATATATATACTCAACATACCCAGTTTAACACTAACCATTGTGATAGTCTCTGTGTATGCTGAACACGTTGACTCCAGCATACTCGGGCGTGCCTCCCACGTGGACGCCCTCCTGGCCGTCCACCTGCAGCAGCTGGCGTCCCTCCAGCACCACCGAGGCGTTGTACAGGTCCCCGTCGCCGTCGTCAGCCGTGAGGAAGACCGCAGAGCCGTACCTGCCAGGGACACCCCTCTTACTGACCTACAAGGCCCGCTCACATTTTCTCTTTTGTGTGAACAAATTAGTTTAAAGGCAAATTGGAAAAATAAAGTAAAGATAAAGTAACAAAATGCCAATAATTTAGTGACAGAGTTACGAGGACAGTATTACAGGGACACTATTACAGGGACACTATTACAGGGATAGTATTACAGGCACAGTATTACAGACCATATTGTTGTTAGTATTACAGTGATGTAATGCAAGCTCTGCAATGTTAATGTTAAAGCAGTAGAATAACAATGCCCGTGAAACATTAATACATTGATTAAATGCAAATATTACGTCATTAGTTTTAGAGGAATACAGAGTGCCTGTATTACAATGATACAATGCCTGTATTACAGTGATAAAATGCCTGTATTACAGTGATACAATGAATATATTACAGTGACACAATAAATGAATTACAGTGATACAATGAATGTATTACAGTGATACAATGAATGAATGAATTACAGTGATACAAAGCCTGTATTACTGTGATACAATATCAGTATTACTGTGATACAGTGCCAGGATTGCAGTGACTGAAATAGTGTACCAATGTTACAGCGCTAGTGGCACAGGTGTCAATGTTACAGTGGTAAGATGTAACATAGAGAGGCAATAAGAGAGCGCGTGTACCTTGCAGCAAGGAGAGAGTGCCAGCGGCCGTCAGCGAGGGCGGCCCGGGAGAGACAGAGGGAGGTGATGGGTCGCGGGTGGAGACGCAGCACTACACACACGCGGCCGCCCACCATCTCCACCGCCCACATGTCCAGCCCATGTTGTGACGTCATCACCACCAGTTCACCTCCTCTCCTCCGCGTCCTGAACCTGCGGCAGCAACACGTGTTATCACCTGTGTACGTGGGGCATGAGACACTCCTACCACCTGTGTACGTGGGGCATGAGACACTCCTACCACCTGTGTACGTGGGGCACGAGACACTCCTACCACCTGTGTACGTGGGGCATGAGACACTCCTACCACCTGTGTACGTGGGTCACGAGACACTCCTACCACCTGTGTACGTGGGGCACGATACTCTCCTACTACCTGTGTACGTGTGGCATGAGACACTCCTACCACCTGTGTACGTGGGGCACGAGACACTCCTACCACCTGTGTACGTGGGGCACGAGTCACTCCTACCACCTGTGTACGTGGGGCACGAGGCACTCCTACCACCTGTGTACGTGGGGCACGAGGCACTCCTACCACCTGCGTACGTGTGGCACGATACACTCCTACCACCTGTGTACGTGGGGCACGAGACACTCCTACCACCTGTGTACGTGGGGCACGATACACTCCTACCACCTGTGTGCGTGGGGCACGATACACTCCTACCATCTGTGTACGTGGGGCACGAGACTCTCCTGCCACCTGTTTACGTTGGGCACGATACACTCCTACCACCTGTGTACGTGGGGCACGAGACACTCCGGCCACCTGTGTGCGTGGGGCACGATACACTCCTACCACCTGTGTACGTGGGGCACGATACACTCCTACTACCTGTGTACGTGGGGCACGATACACTCCTACCACCTGTGTACGTGGGGCACGATACACTCCTACCACCTGTGTACGTGGGGCACGATACACTCCTACCACCTGTGTACGTGGGTCGACCGATGCTGACCTTTGATTACATGTCGCTTATTAGGGCCAAATACTCGCCATGTGAGCGATACAGGAAGCAATACTGAAGTATATCAGGGTATGAGATATATCAGGGCACTATACCCCTCTCCCAGGATGTCCGTGTACCTTTTGCAAGTTACAGGGGTAACGATTTATTTCCAGTAGACAATGATAAATCCATGGATGGGATTATAGGTAATATGTTATTATGGCTGACGAGTTAGGACATTTCACACAAACAGGTTTTCTGTAATTAGGGAATGTTATCATAATTGCATGAAAGACGACTGTCACATACCTGAGGGAGATGTGTCATACCTGAGAGAGGCACCACACACCTGAGAGAGGTACCACACACCTGAGAGAGGTGCCACACACCTGAGGGAGATGGTGGTGGTGTAGCCGAGGGGCGTGAAGGAGAGGGTCAGCTTCACGTAACTGTTGTGGAGGAAAGTAGTGGGCGTGGTGGGCGTGGCACAGCCTGGCCCCGCCCACCCCGGCAGGCACTCACACCGCAGGGAGCCAGGCGACCCCTGGCACCTGCAGAGAGAAATTGAGATGAAGAGGGAATTAGGAGCAAATGGAGAGAGAGAAGAGAGAACGGGGAGACAGGGGGGAAGAACAATGGAGAGAGCAAAGGTGATAGAAATAAATGAAAGCAGTGAAATAGAATTAGGGATAATGAGAGAGAGAGAGAGAAGAGAGGTGATAGAGAGGCAGACAGGATGCCGAGACTCTGAAGAAGAGGGGAGAGGAGAGATACACGCGAGATGAGAGGATGAGAGTTAATGATAAAGGAAGTGCCTAGTATAAATCGCAAGAGATCGGAACACAAACACTGACACACACATTAATCATTGTTAGCATAATAATGTGCACAATAAGTACCGGGAGAGAGCAATTTAGTCTTGCACATTGCAGTCGAAGTTACACTTCATTTAGGTAATATACATTAACTCCCTAATTTGCATACTCACCTCAGTACCGACAGTGAGGTATTCAGGAACAATCACAACCATATCCCCTGATTTGCATTATATATATATATATATATATATATATATATATATATATATATATATATATATATATATATATATATATATATATATATATATATATATATATATTCTGCAACTGGTGTACAGGCCTCCTTAACCATCACCACCAGACAAAGATGATGGTAGCCGAGGCTAATCCCCATCATTCCACCGGCAATCTGATGGTAATCTTAGGCATGGTATTTTATCATATCATCACATTCTTTGGGGCACTCGTGAGGAACACAAATGCCAACAGCCTGAATGGTTCCCAGGCATATATGCAACTGAAAACTCACACCCCAGAAGTGACTCGAACCCATACTGCCAGGAGCACTCTGCAACTGGTGCACAGGACCCCTTAACCACTCGACCATCACGACCGGATAAAGATGATGGTAGCCGAGGCTAATTCCCCATCATCCCGCCAGCACTCTGATGGTAATCTTGTGCATGGTATTTTATCAAATCATCTCATTCTTTGGGGCACACGTGAGAAACACAAATGCGAACAAGCCTGAATGATTCCCAGGCATATATGCAACTGAAAATTCACACCCCAGAATTGACTCGAACCCATACTGCCAGGAGAACTCTGCATCTGGTGTATACGACCCCTTAACCACTCGACCATCACGACCGGACAAAGATGATGGTAGCCGAGGCTAATTCCCCATCATCCCGCAGGCATTCTGATGGTAATCTTGGGCTTGGTATTTTATCAAATCATCTCATTCTTTGAGGAACACATGAGGAACACAAATGCAAACAAGCCTGAATGGTCCCCAGGACTATATGCAACTGAAAACTCACCCCTCAGAAGTGACTGGGGTGTGAGCTTTATGACATATGACAGCCGATACATATTAACACACGTGACATATTTTAAATGAGAAACAAGAAGTGATACATAATGACATGTAATACATTATCACACGTGATACATACTGGCATATTATACATACTAACACGTGATACATACTGAAACACAAAAAACATACTTCTTGGGCCGACATTATTTTCAAATACACTGTGACGATAATCTCCTTCAAGAGATTGAGCCTGCTCTTCCCTCCCAAGTTCGTCGCTATATACATCCCTATACAACTAATATGAAAGAAATATCCAACAAATACAACTCCAAGGTTTGCCAGAGAGCAAACGTATGCAGCACCAGGAACACCTGCTCCCCCCGCCACTCGAACAGCCAAACTACCTGTCCGTCGCCTGCTCATCGCTGATTGGCTGCGTGTCCAGTTGCACCTGCCCTCCACCCGCCACACTACCTGATGTCTGGGGCCACACGACCTCAGACCTCAGAATATCCAGTGCTTTCAACAAGTTAACATGTCTCGTTGGTAGACTAAGCTCTGGCTTACGTGTACTAAGAGAGGTGGCAGCTTAAAGCCAATATTCCTGCACCTATTATCTGATTGTATATTGTTCACTTGTTACTTACTCACTTGTCTTAACGTAACTTTTCATTTTGTCATTTGATTATTCTTATTATTTTGATTGATTGATTTTATGTTCCAATTTTTATGTCCATTTTATTCATGAATTGCTTTTCTAACGTAATTAAAATCTCATTGTTAAATTTACTTGTGTTTTGTGTGTCTTCCCATTACCTTACCACAGACGAAGTTCCAGATTTTCTCTTTTTGTTTCTATACCGCAGTCTCCGTGGTGTAGTGGTAAGACACTCGCCTGGCGTTCCGCGAGCGCTATGTCATGGGTTCGTATCCTGGCCGGGGAGGATTTACTGGGCGCAATTCCTTAACTGTAGCCTCTGTTTAACGCAACAGTAAAATGTGTACTTGGATGAAAAAACGATTCTTCGCGGCAGGGGATCGTATTCCAGGGACCATAGGATTAAGGACTTGCCCGAAACGCTACGCGTACTAGTGGCTGTACAAGAATGTAACAACTCTTGTATATATCTCAAAATATGTGACGAGGCCATACCCCTAGCTTTTGAAACAGCCGAACACCAACGCGTTACCGTCACATATTAAGTGGGGGCCTGTCCTAGGAGCTTCACTCAGGTACTGGTGCCAAGTAGTAATTTATGGTAAGCGTATTTAACTTTGTTAACGTAGCTTTTACTATTTTTCATATTCAATTTCATTTTCTATATGGTGCGGAGTGTATTGTGCATTACGAGAGTAGCATATGGTGAAGGTGAGACAACTTTGGATTACGTGGTGACTGTAGGCCTCAGTCATACTCTTAATTGGTCATCTCTCCCTCCGTGTTATTACTCGTGTTTACCATCTTTTGTCCCTTGGATATTTCTCATTTTTGACAGATCATCATATTGGTACCCTGGTACTGTGGTCTGCCCCGGGTCAAGTGCACCTAATCTTCTGCAATCTGACTGTAGGAGGACAAAGAGGGCCATAGTTCCTCTAGCTCGAACTTTAGTTGCTGAATTGGGACCTCAGCAGCAGTTCTCGTCACCAGTTGACACCTCGCACCCCTACACGTCAGTCAGAGATGATGATACATACAACGGTAGGGAATTAGCTTACTTTTTCAGAGCACAAAAGTTCGCTAATTCTGTAAGTATCATATTAATTTCAGTAGGAAAAACTTGCTTATGTCCTATAGAGACTCGGCAAGGTATGCCTACATCCTTGGACTACCAATTTTACTTTTGAGGCAATTAACTGTTTCATTTGTTTTCGAAACTCAGTTTCATTTGTTTAGTAGGATTTTCTTGCCCTTATCCTCTTACATGAGTACCGGGTACAAGATTTCCTGCGCCCTTTGATTTAAATTAATCATTTAACATCTTAACTTTAATTGTTAAAGATCCCACAGGATAGGTACCAGTTGCCACGTTGTCCTGTTTCTGACATTCACCATATAACGGTATATTCGTTGTACATTTATTTGCTAATTTCACCATGTTTCGTCTCCAAGCTTTCCGTGCAGATCCAGCAGGTGCAATAGGGACTTTAAGTCATGCCAAGAGAGCTGAATTACAAACTCTTGCACATGAGTATCAACTAACAGTTCCCTACCAAGCCAACAAGAGTGAAATATACAACCTGTTACCGGATCATTTCTTAGAGCAAGGTAAGATAGACTCTGAAACTCATGAAACTTACTATATTGCAGATAAAACTGATTTGGCGACGATGAAACTCAAACTAGAGCTGGCCAAGATTGAACGTGAGCAGCAAAAAGAAGCGGCTGCCATACGAAGGGAAGAACAAGAACGAGAAATCACCCTCAAAGAACGTGAAACTGCCTTGAGGAGGGAAGAACACGAACGTGAGGCTGCCTTGAGGAAGGAAGAACACGAACGAGTAATCGCCCTCAAGGAACGTGAACTCGCCCTCCAGGAACGTGAGGTTGCACTACTCCAGGAGCGGGAACGAGTACAGCTTGAAACCAAACAACGCGAGTTGGAGATGCAACGCGAACATGACAAGCAACAAGCGACTCTGGCTCTAGAGTGTCGTCATCGAGAATACACGTTGGAAACTTCACACCTCGCTCAACGCCAGCAAGCTACTGCCAATCTTCCCGTCAGTTTTAATATATCACATGCAAGTAAGTTAATGCCATCCTTTGTAGAAGCAGAAGTTGATGTGTTTTTCACCACCTTTGAAACCCTTGCTAATCAACTCAGTTGGCCTGTCGACCAATGTGCCACACTTCTCAGAGTCCATCTTACAGGTAGAGCTGCAGTCACACTCAGTACTTTGGCGTCTGAGAATGACTACCAGACTCTGAAACAAGCAGTGTTGGACGCCTACCTCCTCTCCACAGAAAGTTATCGAAGGAAATTCCGTGACCACCTGAAGGCAAGTACCACTACCTTCCTCGAGTTTGCTAACACAAAACGGAGATATTTTATGAAATGGCTGGAAGCAGCACATGTCTCTACTTTTACAGAACTCGTCAACCTGATGCTAGTTGAAGAATTATTGAGGCGTGTGCCGCCTCCTGTCCGTCTATACTTAGCAGATAAAGAAGAAACCGACTACCTGAAGTGTGCTAAGTCGGCTGACACTTACAGCCTCATCCACCGGCTGACACCAGAACCATCCTCCAGTAAGAAGTCGTGGTACAGTTACGAGAAAGTGAGCACCGATCAAGCTGGCTCGCAATTGTACTGCAAGTATTGTAGACTCTATGGACATACCATAGACAAGTGTGGTAAGTCTCAATACAAAGGAACCACTGACACACAGAAACCCAAACCAACTCCTCCTAAGTCCGGTAAGCCTGTGATGAATGTTGGTGTTAAGGTTAATGATCTTTCTCTTTTCAGTAACCACCTGTATACTGGAACTGTCTCTGCCAACGGTTCAAATCCGGAGGGACGTTTCAAATTGAAGATCTTGAGGGACACAGCGGCTCTTCAATCGATCATCTTGAAGTCGGCTGTGCCCAACATCGCCTACACCGGAGAAACTGTCTTCATCACTGACCTCACTGCTACCACTCCATACCCTCTCGCCAGAGTCCACCTGGATTGTCCCTACG